CCGCAACACCTGCTCCTCCTCGTTCCTTTTTGGACGGTCGAGGACCCGTTTCGAGGATCGAAAAGGGATTCGCCTATCCACTCCTTCCCCTCCTCCTCTTTTTTTCCTTTCCTTCGTCTGGATCATCCTCTCTCTCTTTCTTTCTCTCTCTTAGTTAGAAGGAGGGCGTACGCTTTCTGCATGCGGGTGCTGCAACGGCAGGTGCTGCATTTTTCTTCTTGCGCCACCCCTCTCTCTCTTTCTTTCTTATTACTGTTATTATACAGCGTAGCTTTTCTTCGACAGCACGAGGCACCACTGACGCGTGGTAATCTTCTATTCTTCCTCGTTTTCTTAAATACCAGAAACGGTGAATTCCCCTGGGCCCGAAGGGAAATTTTTAAATCTTCCGGTCCCCTCTTCCGGATCCAATCTTTCGTCTCCTCGTTTTAATATGATAATGAATTGGATCGGGATTCTACGTTCCACGGTGTTCACTGTTCGAACGATTATATTAATTGGATCGATCGCGATGTAGAATTGGATCGAGATTGAGATAAAGTCGTTAGAGTAGATGGAGGTGTTCTTTAATTTTCTTCCTTCGCGTGGCGATGTTCTTAGGATACATTGCGTCATGAGGTTTTTTCTTTCGACGATGGGAACAACGCGGGCCCACGCTCATGCGGGTAGAAAGCAGGTGTCGCGTTAAATTCCCTCGCATCATTCTACGCGCCGCACGTCATTTTTACGCTTCTGCTTTTCATTATTCAACGACATTCTTGGGCATACATTTATCGACGCGTGCACACATTTCATTCTACCCATAAATGTTCAACAGCTATTAGACACCTGTACGTTAACTGTACGTGAAAAATTCGTTTTTTTTTACGACTTAAGCAATTTTTATGTCAACGATATTATGTCCGCGACCTTGTATACGACGGGCAAACAAGTAAAAGTTTCAAAATCCATCCGAATAATTTTAACAAACGACGTCCATTTACAGAAAAAAAGATTCGAGAAAAAAAATAGAACGATTCCGGAAACAAGGAACTATCAAATCGGATGAGAAAATCAGAAATGGTGGTTGCAAGAAAACGTGCAACGTTGGGTTGGCTCGTGGCTCGACTCTCGACGTCGTCCAAAATAAAAAAAAGAAATACATCATGGGACAATTCAGCCGTCGTTTTCTTCTTCCCTGCCCGTGCGGCCACCATGTCTCCCTCTTCCACCTCTCTCTCTTTCTCCCTCTTTCCTGTCTCCGTTGGCACCCTTCTTCTTGCCCCACCACAGCTCCCACGTACGAGCACCGTCTGTATAAACGAGCACGCGCCACCACCTGCTTCTTATTATCCCCACCCCTCGATCGGGTGCAACGGGTACCCCTGCTCTTTCCACAACCCTTCGTGCAGCCGACCGGCGTTATTTCACACGCCGTTTTCCCTCCGCTGTTTTCTTACGTGTCCCTTTCTCCAATGCGTTCAACATACATACATCTGCGCCTTTTTCTTTTTCTTTTTCCTTTTCTTTTTCTTTTCTTTTCTTTTCTCTCGCCCGTTGCTCACAGTTGCTCTTCTCGACGACGAGGGTTGGACGAGGATATTTGGTGTGTACTTACACTTGTGATAAAAAGTAACATGTATTTGTTTTAATTAGGATGGGAGAAAGGATTTAAAGAATAATTCAAAGAATTATAGATAACAATTGTTAGTGTAAATGTAAAGATTTTTTTCAAATATTCATCGAATGTTTATTCTACGTGTATGATGTTATATATATATTTCATACTTTCGTGTATTTTTAAAGTATACATAGATATTATATTTATGTCTCGAAACTTATAAAGAGTCGATGATGAGAAAGTTTATTTAAAAGTTAGGAATCAGTTGACGTAATGTTCTAAAAAAAAATAATAATAAATAAATAAAAGTTATAATTTTTTTTTGGTATAGAAACAAACGTGTTATTTTAAAAATTCTTTTGAAAAATGTAGTCGTGATACTGTTGCTTTTGAATTATATAGTTACCGATATTAATATTAATACGCGAGTCGTTGGCGTGTTTAATTGCAAAAACTTTTAACACAACGCGATATTTTTGAAATTTAAAATAGAATCCTTCTTCCCGCCACGAGTTTTATAAACTGTATCTAGGATTTCTTTAAAATTCATTTCGTAAACTTTATAAACTAAAGCTTTTATAAAAGTAGAATTCTTTAAAAGCCATTTCACAAGTAAGCTAAAAGTAGCTTCTTAACTCCGTGATATAATATTAACCTAGTAATGCGTTATTCAAATTCAGAAGATGTAGATGAAGTAGATACCATGATTCATCATAAATCAAAAATCCATTATTTCTAATTACTGTGATAAATATTCTAGTAAATTAAAAACTTATAATCCTTTTTTTACAACAAACAAATATTTATTTAAATATATCTTTGAAAATTATCATCGCTTTTTCCTTTTTTTTTTAAATTCAAGTCCAATTTAAGTTTTCCATGTAATATAAAAATCTTCAATAGAATATCACACCCTCAATTTAACGTTATAATCTTATACATTTAATTATAAACCCTGCCTTTGTTTTAATCTATCCATTAATAATTCTTTCTCATACGATTAACAAATTGTTTAATAGTTTAACGAGTCGTCTCTCGTGATTATCTTTATGGCGCAGAAAGCATTGCTGCAGGGGTGAAATAAAATCGTAGACCCGTGAATACCGCAGATGTACAAACACACATAATTGATATTCGTTTGTTAAATTTAAATTCACGCCTGCTCCATTTTCATTTTTCGTGCCACCTGTAAAATGCACACGATCATTGCAAATATCCATAAAAATCATACTCTACGTAAATTTGGAATCCATCAACATGATTTACCACGAATTGAAAAAATCTTTGACTGATTTTTATTTTTTTCATAATTATATATATATAGAATTACTACAAAAGAAAAGTATATAATTCTAGAAAAAGTATACTATAAAACAAGTACAATTACAGGGATGAAATTTGAATTGATACACGGGCGTAGTTGTGAAGTTTATTTTCCATCCTTGCTGTTGGTAGTGACGGGGATGAGAGCCAGAGTACAGAGTAACTGACAGCAGTAATGACAACAGTAACCGATTTTCCATTACAAAAGCCGTCATTTTGACAGACTAGTCACCTGACACGCTCTCATCCCCATCAATTGCAATAGCGCGGAACAAACTTCAGAACTACATCCACAGTTCATTTCTCGTCCCTTCTCTCTACTTTCATAAGTATCCTCGTTTTATATCGTTGAAAGTATATGACGTGTATATCCATGTGGCAAATCCTTGAACCTTTTATCTTTTCCTAATAACAGGATAAAATCTGTATCAAAATGATAATGATTTCCAAACTTCGTATCGATCTACTTTAACACGATCAGCAATCATGATCTTTCTTCCAAGAAATGTAAAAGGTACAATTTTCCAACTTGTAAATTTATATTCAAATTTTCTTTTTTATACAAATTTCTGGATTTCAATTGTATTTTTCGTCTTATAATACAATTTCTCATACAAATCAAAAAATGAAAAATAATATTCCTCTTCCATTTTTCCTACTGCTATTACATCCAACTTAAACTGTTAAACTCCATTTCGTTACAGAATTAATTATCCTCTTTTCACTCTTATTTACATACTCTGGTAATTAATCACCCCTCCCACAGTCCGTATCCGAGTGTAACGGTCCGACATTCCAACCCTTCGCCCATTCTTTCATCCACCACGAAGGTTAGCCAAACGTTCGCCATCTTTCGAGGAATCGCCCTCTTGGCGTTTCAAACTCTCTCTCTGCCCTCCCTTTCCTCAGAGGCGAGAGATCCAAGGGCAGAACGTTTCGAGGGAAAATTTCAAAGACGAAATGAAATTAATAATTTCTTTTTTTTTCCTGGAAAGAGGTTCGATCGTTCTCCATCCATCCAAAAAACCTTTCAGCTCTTGACACTGCTGCGTTGCGTTGGGAAAAGGCCTTTGGCTTGGCCTTCCGCGTGGAAGCCTTGTGGAAGCTTGATTCGATAGATCCATGATTTTCAGCCGGCTTTTTATCTCGTGTCACAAAGGCTAAGGTGAGCTTTCAACGGGCCGTGCACTCGTGTAGAGGAAGAGTGTAATACCCGTGGGGAATAGGTTGTAATGTCTTGTGAAGAGTGGGGAAACGTTATATATAGAATGTGTATGTATACAGAAGGTTACTAGGTTGAGAGAGTCGATTTCTGGAAATCGAAACGGATACAGAATTTTTCGTTTTGTTTGTTTTGGTTACAAGCGATTGAAGTTTGTGGATAAAGCGATAAGATAGAGATAGATTCTAACTTGGTCGTATTTCGTCTAATGTAAACTTAAATCGCTTGTGATTTGTTTATATGAACCCTCGAATCAAATTTTTTGAAATATTCATCGTTTCTAAAGAATCGATCCTCTAATCACAATTATCGCAATGATATTTTAATTAATTTAATGAAATAATAAAACGGAATAAATAATGTATATAATTATTATAATTTTATTTGCGTAATAATAGTTAATTTTTTCGAATTGCAATTAATTGTAAGCGATAAGATATACCGTTTAATTGTAACAGTTACATGCATAATATAATATCTCACCAATAATTACATTCATTACTTTACGGCCTGTTATTTTTCCACGTCCTTTTCCACCTTAAGTTTCCATAAACGTTTTTCTCGATTATTTTTAACAAAAATTTAAACAATCGAATATTATTAAAGTATTCGCACCCCACGTATTGTTAAATTATAGAATTTATCGATCATTTATCAGCAAATTTCCGCAATTTTCTTGGTGTTCCTCCATCAAAAGACGGTATGGGTGAAGGAATCGCGCACGTTTTGCGGCTGATAGCGCGAAAAGGGGGTTGAACGATGGCAAAGTGGCAATTAATGTACGAGCAAATAGACAAAGGATACACGTGGGCCTTGTATCTTCGAGATTCCTTCTCTCGAAATTATTGTACGTTTCCTCTCCTGGAAATTTAATCAAACCACGCTCTTCCTCCTTGACTTGTGAAATAGGCCTGGCAGGCTATTAATATAAAAAATTGCTCGTCCTTGCTTTTTCATTAGTGCTCCTCCTTTGTAAAAATAAAGTATTTTTGGTATTTCGATTAACCAAGAGAGAAAGAGAGGGGGATAGGGTTCCTGAAAGTTTGCTTCATTGAAATAATTGTCATTTGTCTCTGGAAATAACCCTGGAACTAATTACGACTTTCCAAACAATGTTTACTTCCCCTTCTAATTAACTAACCCATCCTCCATGGAACGAGATTGAAATTCCTGGCAAATAGGGTAAAAAATAAATTAAGAGAGGTTCTTGCAGGCCCGAATCATTGTTGTAATGCAAGAAAGAAGTTGGAATAGGTTGGAAATTATTATTGCACGGTCCAACTTTGATAATTTTTCGATTTGAAGGGCGGTCGCGCGGGAAATTTGAAAATTTTTTAACTCGATCTGGAAATACTTATTTATTTCTTCCTTAAAAAAAGAGGAAAAAATGAGAAGAGAGATAAATTTTTCCCAAGATTGCTTAGCTGAAATATAACTAAATAATTTATTTTAATGGAATAGGTTGGAAATTATTATTGTACGGTCCAACTTTGATAACTTTCCGATTTGAAGAGCGGCCGCGCGGGAAATTTGAAAATTTTTTAACTCGATCTACGAAATACTTATTTATTTCTTCCTTAAAAAAAGAGGAAAAAGTGAGAAGAGAGATAAATTTTTCCCAAGATTGCTTAGCTGAAATATAACTAAATAATTTGAAATTATCTGATCGAGAAACGAAAGATTCAAAGATAAAAGGATATAATGGATTAAAAAAATTCATCGTAGCTCGAGTTTATTGTTTTTCGTAATTTTCACTTTGGCACTTTCGATTTACAACTCTTCCAACTTTCGCAATATTCCACTCTCAACGTTCAGACTTGGAGTGTATTCACCGTATATATTTTTATTAACGAAATTGAATTAGCTCGTTTAATAAGTTGTCCACGTTGCATAAGGAACTTTCAAATATTTAACCAAGTTTCATAATGCTTTTACGAGGAAATATTCGGCATTCCCTTCCAAATACAATAATCATAAGGAACGTGGCGAGCCTGTTTCGATATCGGTGAAACAATAAAATCCGTATCGATCGGTTTTCGAACCAATCGTTTTGCGATACAAAACACGAAGGAACGGATAAAACAGTCGCGTGACTGTCGTGACGATTAATTTTTATCGTTAATCCAAACATCTATACGCTGTCCTTTCTTTAATCCTGCTATTTACTACAAGTTTCACTATGGCAAAAAGCGATGAATCCAATCATGGTATTCCATTCCATCTTTCAATACATGTATACATACAGAACAGAAAATCGAATATTATTAACGAAACTTATTAACAATCCCATTCGAATCTTTGTAGCACAACAATTTTATCTTACTCATTCCCATTTTGAAAATAAAAATTCAAGAAACGAATTATAATTTACTTTATTTTAATCCGAACTCGAACACATCTTCAATACATTTCTACGAATTAAACAATTTCAACATACCTCGAGCCCCACTTTCTCATACGTATCCAATACAATTTCGACTCCTCTATTAAATTTAAATTAACAAATCTACTCGCCTTGCTCGAGCCAGGCGAAAAAATACCCATAAATACGCCATAAATCGTTGCAGGATTAATAAAGAAAAAAAGTTCGGGATCGGGGACAAGTTGGCCGATTCTCGGCGCAAATTAATTTCGAAATCCCCCAAAACGAAGGATCGTTCGAGGAGTTCAAGAAGAGTAGATTACGCCCAGTGGGCTCATACGTCCCATACTGTCGAACTATGGGGCAGGTGCATTAGCGTAAATCATCTCCTGGCTGAGAATTGGCCGTGGATCCGCGAAAACAAAGCGCGAGGCGAGGTGGAGATGCTCTCTCGATGGTGGATCCGGCGTACGATCTCCGGGTTTTGAACGCGATCGCGAGGGAAACGGCGATCGCACCTGAACCAAACAGTGGGGAGAGAGGGGGGGGGGAAGG